TTATGTTTGTGCGCTTATTGTGTTGTATACAACGAGTGTATATATGTACATTGCACCTTACTTTGGTCTCACAGGCCACATAAGTTACCTGAAAAAATAAAGTAGTGGAAAAAACAAGAAACCTTCAAATGGGAGTAAATATAAGTGTATACCAGGTGAGTGGCACTCACTGCTGTTGCCTACACGGCTCATTTTCTACCAACTTTGTGCCTCTATATCTCTGTAAGTAATGATCGCAAAAAAAAAATTTTAGGCTTAAAACACTCAGCAAAATAATCCTAACATTTTGGTAAGAAAAAGTAATTTTTTTGATTTTTTGAATATTTTTTGACATAGAATGACAGTTTCAGAAAAGGGCTTGCAACAGTCAGAGGGTTAATATGTTAATAAAGTCACACGTAGCACTGTAAATCCAGGGAAATTTGGAGACTGAATGATGAGTGTATGTGTGAGGACAAACAATAAACTAGCGTGGTAATCTATGGCTCAGGAAACAATAAAAACATACATGTCCTGGACATAGCTGCTGTGGCCCATACTGTACAAATGTTGGAGTTACCATACCTGGTCTGATGCTTCAGAAAACAAATGGACACTACTGCTATGGACAAAATCTGAAACTATTGTGCAGACTTTTCCATTTTGTCTGAAGCTTTCATTTGTCCTGCTAGTTTTTTGTTTGAAATTGCTGAAATTCATTAAATGGTGATCCATTAATGAGAGGATTTACTGTACAATTGTGCACTACATAACATTTTGGTCAACAATGGACTGTATATACAAAGGTGGTATAAACAAATCCATTGTTCTGCCAGTTGTATAAAAGTATAGCACATTTAATTATGTGCAATACATAATACTTGATAATGATGATAAACAACTATGTAACTGGTTTACTATACTGTACTTTTTTATCATTATTCTAGAATGTAATCTTTCTACTTATAAAAAATTTTTTACTGTGAAACAGTATTCTGTGTTATGCTGGCAGCAGCTTCATACATCTTGTGTCTACTGTGTCTATTGCATTATTTTCCCTTGTGCTTGATTTAATCTCATGTTTTGTTCATCATGGCCCCTGCAGGAAAAGAAAAAGAATAACAGCTCTAAAGAAAATTCACAGTGAAGGGTTTAGCAGAAGCTTTTGCAGACCTCAACAAGCTCCTTGACCCTTTGAGGGTCCGTCCCATAGTTCTATGGCTTTGAAGCCTGGGTCCAAGCTGTAGTACTATGTCATGAGCTCAGCTCACTCAGATAAGCTGTGAGTGGTAAATTTGGGCCTAAATATGTGTTAAGTGTGTACCATATAAAACAAATCCTGCAACACGCAGTACATAATGAGAAAAAAAAAACATGTTATAGGATTAAAACTAGAGAATTTGTGGTGTATTTTCATATGGTTTTAACAATTGTATTCTTGGTTTCTTGGTCTTGTTTGATAGAATGGAAGATATATTATAGAAATAGAGATGATTTTGATTGGTTTTAGTACTAAAAATAGCTTGAAATTGAGCTCAAATCAGTGGAAATGTTCAATTTTTGCCAATGTTCAAGAGTAAACAAATGATGTTCATGTGTCCAATACATGTCAGCTGGTGGGTCTGATATACATTCACAAATGCACTGATATTCTTTGTACAATTATCACATTGCATAACAGTAAATCTTCTATTTTTTTTTTTTTGAATAAAAATTCTTTGTGAATAAAAAATCAAAATGGAATTCATGTGTAAAGCCTGGAAACCTAACTAATAAACAGAGGAAATGTTATTTTAGCTCAAGAAAGGCCTGCATTGTTTATTCTGGACCCTCTTGTAAAACTGGAATGTTTTAAACTCTCAGTGAAATGGCCTAAATTGCTAATTTCCGATCACTTTATTGGGTAATTGAAATAGTTGATTGGGCAGTGTCTTGTGCTCAATCAATAAAATAGAATAATACTAGTGAAATAGCTAAGAATTTGGTCGACTGGAATAATATAATTGGCTTAAAATAGGAGTCAAGTAGGCAAAATTGCCGATGAGTAAATATTGCTGTTGCAGCAAAATTCAGGAATTTTAATTTCATCAGTTTTCCAGTATATTTTGTACTTTTTGTTTTATTACCTTCTGAAAAAGATTATCTACCATTTCATAAAGATTTTTTTTTTTTTTTTTTTTAAATTCTTGGATCCTGTGGACAAGCCGTAGAACTATGGGACGGACCCTCAAAGGGTTAAAATGTTTAAAAAGAGAGAGGAATTTTCATGGTGAATTACCTGCTTACAAGCAAATCTAAGATGAATAAAACAAACAACCACATAGCCTAGGTGTGTAGTAGGCTGTATCATCTAGGTTTGTGTAAGTTCAATCTATGACATTTGCACAATGACAAAATTGCCTAATTGTGTTTCTGAGAACATATTACCGTCATTAAGCAACACATGACTGTACTTGGAATTTACTCCCTGTAGCGAAGAAGAGAATGATACCTTATAATTTACAGCAATATATGAAAGATTTTGGAGGGCAAGTTCCCAAATTTTGCAACCAAAAAAACTTACTGGAGTGTGAAAGCAATGTAAAATAAACCCAGTGAAAAGCAGAGATGTGATAAGTACAACAAAGCCACCATTAGCAGCAGTCTGGTTGAACATGTACACGATAGAAAAGCCTGGCCCTAGGCCAAGCTCAAGGGTAGAAAACTCAACACAAGTTACAGGTACAGCAGGGCCCCGCTTTACAGCGTTTCACTTTATGGCGTTCCGCTAATACGGTCATTTCAAATTATGACCAAAACTCGCTATATGGCTCCCCCACCTGACTTTCTAATACGGTCACCGCGCCCCACCATGTTTGTTTACATTCTTCGTGAGCTCAGTAAGCACTAAGTCTCTCCATTTTGTCTGGAAGCTCCAAAATTTCAAATGTTTTTAAAAGTTATTTCATATTTTATATATACTCTGATAATTATACTTATGTATACCTGTACTTAAATAAACTTACATACTGTGCTGGCATGCAGGTACACATTAAAATCAGTAAGAGTGTCTTATGTCTCCAGACGTCATATTAGTAATGATGATGATAATCATCGAGTCTCATTTAAATGTCATATATTACGTTAAATACACATTTTCATTAATCCATCTATGATATTTTTTCAAAATTATATAATAAACACGATACATAACATAAAAAGATGATAAATACACCCCACAATAGAATAAACATAAATATGAGATGTGGTAGCAGACGACTTGCACAAGTGACGCCATATTAGAAATGATAATAATAATAATAATAATAATCACCGAGTCTCATTAAATGTTGTATATTACGTTAATATACACATTTTCATTAATCCATCCATGATATTTTTTTCAAAATTACAGTGGACCCCCGCATAACGATCACCTCCGAATGCGACCAATTATGTAAGTGTATTTATGTAAGTGCGTTTGTACGTGTATGTTTGGGGGTCTGAAATGGACTAATCTACTTCACAATATTCCTTATGGGAACAAATTCGGTCAGTACTGGCACCTGAACATACTTCTGGAGAGAAAAAATATCGTTAACCGGGGGTCCACTGTATATAATAAACACGATACATAACATAAAAAGATGATAAATACACCCCACAATAGAATAAATAAACATAAATATGAGATGTGGTAGCCAGATAACTTGTACAAGTGATGCCAAGAATAACATTTTCTCTAATCTAACATAAGAGAAAATGTGTTACTGGGGGTAACTGTAGAAAATTATTCCTTTCGTATGTATGTAAGTAAGTTTATTCAGGTATACACAAATACAGTTACATAGATTATCATACATAACAGCATATGTGTAGAGAACCTAGGATAACCCAAAAAAAGTCAGTGACTTATTTCCATTGCCTTCACTCAGAGCATCATTTCTTCTCAAAATGATGTTACATGAGAATGGGAGTGTTCTTCTTTATTTATTCTACCGTATCAATGTAGAGACAACCTGTACACAATGTAACTTGTACACAAACCAGATGTGTACACTTTGTTTACAAAACTTACCTTCGCCTGGTTTGTTTACATAACTCTGCGCCTGTACTCTCTCATGCACTCATTCTTTCTCTCTCTCATTTATTCGTTTTATCTCATTTACTTACTCCTGACCCTACATTAAGACTACAAATATTTTAAGGTAAGTAATGAGTGAACTGTATATACATTTTATTGCTCTGGGATGCTTAAATGTAATAGAATATTATGTGTAGGTGGGTTGGCCTGGTATGGTAGCCCGGCTGACTACCATACATACCACACTTGATTTTTTACAATAAATACTACTCATCTCACCCTATATTTTAAGGTAAGTAATGAGTGAACTGTATATACATTTTATCACTCTGGGATGCTTAAATATCATAGAATTGTATGTGTGGGTGGGGTGGCCTGGTATGCTAGCCTGGCTGACTACCATACATACCACACTTGATTTCTTACAATAAATACTACTTGTCTCACCCTAGATTAAGACTATAAATATTTTAAGGTAAGTAATGAGTGCACTATGTGTGTATTGTACTTTTTTATTGTTTTTTGATGCCTGGTTCTATTGCTAACTTAATATATGTTTGTGTAAACTTGTTATCTAGTGTTTGTATGCATTTGTAAGTGAAAAAAGGGTGTTCCGCTTTACGGCAGTAGCCTGGAACCTAACCAGCTGTATAAGTGGGGCCCTACTGTATATAGATAGTAGTGGTCTTGAGTCCACTGTCTGGTGGCATTGTCTCCAGACAGTGGTCTTGAGCCCACTATCTGGTGGCATTGTCTCCAGACAGTGGGCTTTACCCCACCATGTGATGGCATTGTCTCCAGACAGTGGTCTTGAGCCCACTCTCTGGTGGCATTGTCTCCAGACATTGGGCTTTAGCCCACTATGTGGTAGCATTGTCTCCAGTGTGTTTGGATATTGATTTAAGACATTATAATACGGTGAATGTTTGGATTATTTCTGAACAATTTTTTTTCCCAGATAATGTTTTTTATCGGGGCTCTATTAAATGAAGGACTAAACTTAGTGCTGAAGAGCGTCATTGCTGAGCCTCGGCCTGTACTGCGAGGTGGACTCTACACAGAATATGGCATGCCCTCCTCTCATTCACAAATGATGTGGTTTTTTGCCGTGTACTCTGTACTCTTCTTGATTTTCAGGTGAGATCACATTTTTACAAATTATTATGCTGTAGTGTTAAGAAAATTTCTCAATTTTTTGATGTGTCTCATATAGTAAAGTACAATGGAACCTCGGTTTTCGTGTGCCCTGGTTTTCGTCAAATTAATTTTTCGATGACTTCTTTTTTTTTGTCAAAATATTGTCCCAGTTTTTCTTCGTCACTTCATTTTTTGTCCACCATACTGAATGTGTCCATCTGCCTGCGCCTACACAAAGCATCCCACGCACACATTCTGAGTCAGTCTGGCTTTGTTTCTCGTTGAGTAAACTTTACCCTGTGCATTCATACGAAACATTTCATAATAATCCATTGTTTTTGTACTTGTTTGTTGAGTGCAACTGCTAAATAAGCCACCATGGTGCCAAAGAAGGGTTCTGAGTGCCAGTCATTTGATAAGGCAAGAAACACGATAGACTTCAATGGTGGTAGAGGGTGATAGGGATAGTGGTAGAGAGTGGTAGTGATGGTGGTAAAGGGTGGTAGTGGTTGTGATTGTGGTAGAGGGTGGTAGTGATGGTGGTAGAGGGTGGTAATGATGGTGGTAGAGGGTGGTAATGATGGTGGTAGAGGGTGGTAATGATGGTGGTAGATATAACCTCTCCTTCCTCTCTCCTTCTCACCATCTTCCATACGCCAACAAGAGTCTTCAATAATGGTGAGAGTGATTGAAATGTTCATTTATCCATTTCATTAATCCTGTATATTTATTTCTCATTGTTTTCTGTATGTAAAACTATAGTTATTCTCTATAAAATGTATTTTTTGTTAATATTTTTGGTGTCTGGAATGGATTAATTGGATTTACATTATTTCTTATGAGAAATATTACTTCATTTTTCATCTTTTCATCGAATTTGGTTTTGGTTAGACTCTCTGGAATGAATTAAAGATGAAAACTGAGGTTCCACTATGTGGCAAAATCTCAGTTTAACCCTTTCAGGGTCAACAGACCCTCTCCCAAACTTGTTCTCAGGGTCGAAAAATATTCGAAAAAAAAAAATTATTTTTTCTTGTTTTTTTTTGTGAGTACTGTATTATAGGCTGATTTTTTTTTTTTTTTTTTCAATCAATATTTACAGAGACATGGAGGTGTGAAGTTGACAGAAATTGAACTGCATACGGCAACATCACCGGCTGCCAGTCACCCAGTAATAGTTTACAGTGGACCCCCGGTTAACGATTTTAATCCGTGCAAGAGGGCTCATCGTTATGCGAAATAATCGTTATGCGAATGAATTTTCCCCATAAGAAATAATGGAAATAAAATTAATCCGTGCAAGACGCCCAAAAGTATGAAAAAAATTTTTTTTTACCACATGAAATGTTAATTTTAATACACACAAACTGAAAAAGGCATGCACAATTAAATGACACTTACTTTTATTGAAGATCTGGTGATGATTGATGGGATGGGAGGAGGGGAGAGCATTATCTTCTTACTGTTTAGAAGGGGAATCCCCTTCCATTAGGACTTGAGGTAGCAAGTCCTTTTCTGGGGTTACTTCCCTTCTTCTTTTAATGCCACTAGGACCAGCTTGAGAGTCACTGGACCTCTGTCGCACAACAAATCTGTCCATAGAGCTCTGTACCTCCCGTTCCTTCAAGACTTTCCTAAAATGGGCCATAACATTGTCATTGAAATAGTCACCAGCACGGCTTGCAACAGCTGTGTCAGGGTGATTTTCATCTATAAAGGTTTGCAGTTCAACCCACTGTGCACACATTTCCTTAATCTTTGAAGTAGGCACAATGGATTCCACAACTGGCATAGGCTTCTCAGGGTTAGCCCCAAACCCTTCAAAATCTTTCTTAATTTCCATACTAATTCTCACCCTTTTTACCACAGGGTTGGCACTAGAAGCTTTCTTGGGGCCCATGGTCACTTATTTTCCAGAAACAGCACCGAAAACACTGTAATAATACGAAATATTCCGAGTGTATGCTTGGATGTTACCGCGGAGGCTGGCTGGTAAACAATGGGACGGCCGGCACATGTGAGGGCACATTGGACGCGTCTCGGACGAAAATCGGTAAGCGGGTTTTTAATCGGTATGCGCGGCAAAAATTTTGCGATAAAAGTAATCGGTATGCGGAAAAATCGCTATGTGATGCCATCGTTATGCGGGGGTCCACTGTATTTTGTTTTTTCTACTTTTTTCTTTTATTTTTAATATTTTATTTTTTTCAAGTAACTTTTATGGCCTCTGAGACCAATATAAAGACTACTTGGTATATATTCACTCATTCTATACTACACAATAATAGCACAAACTTTGCTGTCATTATATTGTTTACAAAACATGTTTACATAAACCAACAATACAAAATGTTGTTTATTACTATTTTTCTATCATATATATATATACACATATTGAGTAACTGGACAGGTTCCTATAACTACAAGAGGTTCTGAAAGCTTACAGTTGTGTGGGGGGTGGACTTGTAAATATGCTGAGTCACCAGTGTGTCTTGTGTCACAATGATGCATCATACCACCATTTACTAGCCTCACTGCCTTCCACAACACATCCCTTCCTCCCCACAAACCTACCTTCCTTCCTTTCCTTCCTACCTTTCCTTCCTACCTTTCCTTCCTACCTACCTTTCCTCCTTCCTACCTGCCTTCCATCCTTTGTTCCTCTCATCTCTTCCTATCTACCTTCCTTCCTTCCTCTCATCTCTTCCTACCTACCTACCTTTCTTCCTTCGTCCTCCCTTTCTTTCTTCATTCAATTAATTTTATGGCCTGTGAGACCAATATAAGGTTTATTGAATATATATTCACTTGTATGCCACACAATAACCACAGTCATTATATTGTTTACAAAATATGTTTACGCAAACCAGCAATAAAAAATGTTGTTTATTACTATTTTTCTATCACATATATACACATAAAAAGTCACTGGACACTTCCCAGAACTGCTACAGTTTCTGTAAAGCTCGTAGTTGTTGTGTGAGAGTGGACTTGTAAATATGCTGAGTCACTGGCATAATTAGTGTCACAATGACAAATAACACCATCACTCACCACCCTCACTGCCTGTCAACTTCCTCCCCAACCTACCAACCCACATGGAAATAAGTCACTGTCTGAATTTTTTGGGTTATCTTAGGTTGATGGTCTTCTTCCTTACTTCCTCCCTTCCTTCCCTCTTTCCTCTCATCTCTTCCTTTCTTTCTTCCTTCCTCTCGTCTCTTCCTTCCTTCCTCCCTTTCTTCCTACCTTCCTTCCTTCTTCCTTCCTTCCTTCCTTCCTTCCTTCAGATTTCTTGAGCATTGCTTTCAGTCACAAACTCCTCAAAACCATGAAATTCATCTTCACTGGCACTTCCATCTGTGTTTGAACTGTCACTTGGGAACAAAAGAGCCCCAATTAGCCGAGGAGTGAGGAGTTTCTTAGCGCTAGACATGGTGAACAAGGTGTAATAAAATGGCTTTCCCACAATACACCACTGGGTCCCCGATTTTTTTTGTACTGCTCACACTGACCATGGAGACCCATTCTCTCACATCTAGGACTACCAGCCTTTTCCTGCTTGATTTGAGGGTGCTAGAATTTATGCATATTAGTACGTCAATAACCCTGGTGCGTAAGACGTACTAGTACGTCAGAAACCCTGAAAGGGTTAATGGACTTCAAAAGTGGCAAATACCAGAAGCTCATTTGATTCAAACACAATGGACAAAGTCTGTTCATTTAACCCTTTCACTGTCGGTGACGTATAGGTATGGCTTACAAGCCAGTGTCGGTGATGTATTAATACGCCAAAATTCTAGTGGTTTCAAATCTAGCAGGAGAAAGCTGGTAGAACTACATGTGAGAGAATGGGTCTGCATGGTCAGTGTGCACAGTATAAAAAAAAGTCCTGCAGCACACAGTGCATGATGAGAAAAAAAAACTCCAACCATGTTTTTGGTTTAAAATGCCTACTTTGAGGTGTATTTTCATATGGTATTTATGGTTGTGTTCTCGTCTTTTTGGTCTCGTTTGAAAGAATGGAAGATATATTACAGAAATAGAGATGATTTTGATTGGTTTCAGTATGAAAAGTACCTTGAAATTGAGCTCAAAGTAGTGGAAATGTTTGATTTTTCCCGATGTTCAAGAGTAAACAAATGACGTCACCGTCCAATACGTGTCCAACTGGCTAGTCTAATATGCAGCCATGAATGGGTTGACATTATTTATACAATTATTACAATAATGCAGTAGTCTGCAGAACAGTAAATCTTCTATTTTTGTGTGTGAATAAAAATTAAAAAATAGGAAGCAAGAGTAATATAAGAGGGGCCTGGAAGTTAGAGAAAAATAAATTATGCACAATTTTATGGGTCATAAAACTTTCCTTTTTCTACTAAATTGGGAAAATGTACAATGCTCTAGTTAACATCAGATGAAAGATAAAGGCTAGATTATTGTTAACCCAGGCCATTTCAGTGATGTCAGTAGATTTCATAAAAAAAAAATGTTGAAGTTAGTATTTTGTGTGTGTGTGTGTGTGTGTGTGTGTGTGTGTGTGGAAAAAAAATCATTAAAAACAAAGCTGTAAACAATATCACAAATATCCCCCTGGGTGTATGTAGAACCATCATTCCTCAGTAACGTGTGCAAAAATCATGACAATCCTATTAATACTTATTGCAGAAAAAGGAAAACAATGTCAATAACTTATTTCTGATTTATTATTTTTTTTTTTGTTTAGCGTGAAACTCTACGGTTACGACACACCAAATTTCAGCGTGTTGCACTCCTCCTTCCTTGTTGACAGCCTACAGGCTACTAAGGAAGACACTCACCGTGTTCTCCACTTCAGCCAGCATAGAAGTTGCCATGTAGAGTATTTAGAATGAAACAACCATAAAAATCGTAATTTTTGGAGGGAAAAACCCACTAATTGCCAACATGTATTTTTGATGACAGCAAGAAAAAAAAAAATTAATGAAAAACATACTTAGAAATACAGTGGAACCTCA